CTGTATTTCCCCCGACACCACCACAATGTTTGAGAGAGGTTGGTGTTGTAGAAATGTAGTTTTTATAGTGAACAATAACTTTTAGGCACATCCAGTGTGCAAAACAGTGCAATTACCACATTCGGACACTTTGGAGAGGTTGAAAGGACACTTGAATGTACCCTGGATACCCCATAACACCACCACAATGTTTGAGTGAGGTTGATATGGTAGATATTGTGTTTTTATACTGAACAAATAGCATTTAGGGATTGCAAATATGTAATAGCACTGGAATTATCTCATTTACAGACATATGCCACTTTGGAGAGGTTTAGGGACACTTGGAAACATCCCGTGACCACACCTGACATCACTTATGAAAATATCTGCCCATTTCTAGTTGTTAGGTCTATCAATCTCATTTTTTTTCTGATATTGCTCACATGTTGTGGAAGCCATCTGATGTGTTTCCAGCTCTAGTCATAAATAATTCACTTATAGCTTGTACAATGAAAGATGACTTTCAAAATAAGAAAACTGTTATTTTGTGTGTGCTTGATCTTGTGTATTCTGAACTATGTAACTCCTATCTATCTTCTGATAAGTTCCCCATAATATCCCAGATGTCTTCTTTCCAAATATACCTAGTTTTTGCGTGTCAGAATCATGTAATTACACATGAATAGCAGTTACCTTTGGGTATGCATATTTAGGCGGAAATCTACATTTTGCCATTACATTTAAGAGGTTAAAGATGTTAGGCTGCAAATATACGGTCAGGATCTAGGTAGGGTGTCTGAGTTTAAGTATTTATGTATGTGGTTTGATGAGAGGCTTACGTGGAAGAGACATGTTGAGCATATTGAAATTAAGTGTAGGAAGGTCTGAACCTCATGAGGGCAGTGGCAGGATATGATTAGGGGTCGGATAGACAAACACAGTTGTCTATGTACCAGGCATTGATCAGATCATTTTTGGATTATGGGTGCTTTGTATATGGATCGGCAACCAAAACGGTACTACAGGTCCTGGATAGAATACAGTCAAGGGCCCTGAGATTGTGTGTGGGTGCCTTCAGGACAACACCTGTTGAGGCGTTGCAGGTGGATAGTGAGGAACTGCTACTGAGTATAAGGCAGGACAAACTTGCATTAGCGTACTGGGCGAGGTTGAAAGGGAGTTCAGAAGGACATCCTACAGTCAGGGTAACTGGGAAATGCTGGGAGCGAGGAGTGGGTAAGCAGAGGGCGTATGGGTGGACAATCGGGCAGAAGGTGGTAGAATATGGACTGGGGGAGAGAGAGATAGGGCCGGCAATTGCATTGGGGAACATTCCTCTGTGGCTGTTTTCGAAACCAAGTGTAGATGTGGACATGATTGAGGGCAGGAGAGAATGGGAAGAGGACGTGAGATGGTGTGTGGAGAGATACTTTTGGTCATGTAGTGTATGTAGACACCTGCTCGTCAAACATCTAATTTCAAAATCATGGGTATTAATATGGAGTTGGTACCCCCTTTGCTTCTATAACAGCCTTCATTCTTCTGGAAAGGCTTTCCAATAGATGTTGGAACATTGCTGCGGGGACTTGCTTCCATTTAGCCACAAGAGCATTAGTGAGGTCAGGCACTGATGTTGGGCGATTAGGCCTGGCTCGCAGTCAACGCTCCAATTAATCCCAAAGGTGTTCGATGGGGTTGAGGTCAGGGTTCTGTGCAGGCCAGTCAAGTTCTTCCACACCGATCTCGACAAACCATTTCTGTATGGACCTCGCTTTGTGCAGGGGGTATCGTCATGTTGAAACAGGAAAGGGCCTTGCCCAAACTGTTGCCACAAAGTTGGAGGCACAGAATCGTCTAGAATGTCATTGTATGCTGTAGCGTTAAGATTTCCCTTCACTTGAATTAAAGAGCCTAGCCCGAACCATGAAAAACAGCCCCAGACCACTCTTCCTCCTCCACCAAACCCAGATTCGTCTGTCAGACTGCCAGATGGTGAAGCGTGATTTATCCCTCCAGAGAATGAGTTTACACTGCTCCAGAGTCCAAGGGTGGCGAGCTTTATACCACTCCAGCCGACGCTTGGCATTGTGCATGGTGATCTTAGGCTTGTGTGCGGCTGCTTGGCCATGGAAACCCATTTCAAGAAGCTCCCGATGAACAGTTCTTGTGCTGACATTGTTTCCAGAGGCAGTTTGGAACTCGGTAGTGAGTGTTGCAACCGAGGACAGGCGATTTTTATGCGCTACGTGCTTCAGCACTCGGCGGTCCCGTTCTGTGAGCTTGTGTGGCCTACAACTTTGTGGCTGAGCCATTGTTGCTCCTAGAGGTTTCCACTTCACAGTAACAGCACTTACAGTTGACCAGGGCAGCTCTAGCAGGGCAGAAATTTGACGAACTGACTTGTTGGAAAGGTGGCATCCTATGACGGTGCCACGTTGAAAGTCACTGAGCTCTTCAGTAAAGCCATTCTACTGCCAATGTTTGTCTATGGAGATTGCATGGCTGTGTGCTCAATTTTATAGACCTCTCAGCAACGGGTGTGGCTGAAATAGCTGAATCAAATAATTTGAAGGGATGTCCACATATTGTTGTGTATATACAGTGGGGAAAAAAAGTATTTAGTCAGCCACCAATTGTGCAAGTTCTCCCACTTAAAAAGATGAGAGAGGCCTGTAATTTTCATCATAGGTACACGTCAACTATGACAGACAAAATTAGAAAAAAATATCCAGAAAATCACATTGTAGGATTTTTAATGAATTTATTTGCAAATTATGGTGGAAAATAAGTATTTGGTCAATAACAAAAGTTTCTCAATACTTTGTTATATACCCTTTGTTGGCAATGACACATGTCAAACGTTTTCTGTAAGTCTTCACAAGGTTTTCACACACTGTTGCTGGTATTTTGGCCCATTCCTCCATGCAGATCTCCTCTAGAGCAGTGATGTTTTGGGGCTGTCGCTGGGCAACACAGACTTTCAACTCCCTCCAAAGATTTTCTATGGGGTTGAGATCTGGAGACTGGCTAGGCCACTCCAGGACCTTGAAATGCTTCTTACGAAGCCACTCCTTCGTTGCCCGGGCGGTGTGTTTGGGATCATTGTCATGCTGAAAGACCCAGCCACGTTTCATCTTCAATGTCCTTGCTGATGGAAGGAGGTTTTCACTCAAAATCTCACGATACATGGCCCCATTCATTATTTCCTTTACACGGATCAGTCGTCCTGGTCCCTTTGCAGAAAAACAGCCCCGAAGCATGATGTTTCCACCCCCATGCTTCACAGTAGGTATGGTGTTCTTTGGATGCAACTCAGCATTCTTTGTCCTCCAAACACGACGAGTTGAGTTTTTACCAAAAAGTTCTATTTTGGTTTCATCTGACCATATGACATTCTCCCAATCCTCTTCTGGATCATCCAAATGCACTCTAGCAAACTTCAGACGGGCCTGGACATGTACTGGCTTAAGCAGGGGGACACGTCTGGCACTGCAGGATTTGAGTCCCTGGCGGCGTAGTGTGTTACTGATGGTAGGCTTTGTTACTTTGGTCCCAGCTCTCTGCAGGTCATTCACTAGGTCCCCCGTGTGGTTCTGGGATTTTTGTTCACCGTTCTTGTGATCAGTAACGAGTAGAGGACAGAGGAGCCTCTTAAAGAAGAAGTTACAGGTCTGTGAGAGCCAGAAATCTTGCTTGTTTGTAGGTGACCAAATACTTATTTTCCACCATAATTTGCAAATAAATTCATAAAAAATCCTACAATGTGATTTTCTGGAAAAAAATATCTAAATTTGTCTGTCATAGTTGACGTGTACCTATGATGAAAATTACAGGCTTCTCTCATCTTTTTAAGTGGGAGAACTTGCACAATTGGTGGCTGACTGAATACTTTTTTCCCCCACTGTATAGTGTATATAGATAATCGTGATTATTTGTTTTTAAGGATATATACAGATGGTTCAAAGGATCCAGTCAGTGGTAGGGTGGAGGCAGGGGTGTATATCCCAGATTTCAATGTTAGAGTATGTAAGCCGAGTTGATGGCCATGATTGTAGGTTTGAGATGGGTGGAGGAGGTGAAACCACTCAGAGTGGTGATCTGTTCTGATTTGGCTGCAGTGTTGAGTAGTGTGAAGACGGGCAGGTTGGATAGGGGAGACTTGTTTGTGGAGATGGTGGTGCTGTTAATGTGATTGTAGAGGATGGGAGTGGTGGTAAGCTTTTGCTGGGTTCTAGCCTATGTGGGTGTGGAGGGTAATGAGAAGGCCAATGTGGTGGCTAAGAGTGCTGTGAGGAGAGAGGGGGTAGATATTCATGTCCCGCTGGGCCGCAGGGAAGTCAAGTCCTTGATCCGGGCAAAAGGGTTCGATCTTTGGCAAAGGGAGTGGGATGCTAGTAGTAAGGGGAGGCAATTTTATCGCTTGCACCGGTCAGTAAAGGAAGAGGTGGGGAGTATGGGATGTAGGAGAGAGGAAGTTGTGTGGAGTAGACTACGGTTTGGGCACACAGGTTTGAATGTCACGTTGTGGATGATAGGGACACATGAAACAGGTCTGTGTGATGAGTGTTAAGTGGAGGAAAAGGTGGAGCATGTGTTGATATTTTGTGAACTGTATGACTTAGATAGGGAGAGATTGTGTGAAAGGGTTTGATAGGCTGGACGGGGTTGGGGTTTGTGTGGTGTAGTGGGGGGAGGGAAGTGGTGTCTAGGGCTCTATTTCACTTTCTTAGAGGAACAGGAATAATGAAGATAATTTCATGTAGGTATGACTGGCCTCACACTCCAGTACAATAGGTGGCGGTGTTTGCCCCATAAAAGTTGGATGCGATCCGCAAACCCAATCCTAAAGAAGAAGAAGAACTCAGTGGTCAGCTGACTAGCAGCATCTTTGGCTGTCACAACACACGGTGTGCTGTGTTCAAAGTGCTGTTACAATCTCGAATACCTATGCGGCTCGACTAGGGTGTTATGTTACGGATAGCCAAAACCGGCGAAGGAGCTAGGGCTATACCTCCGGCATGGCGGCAGAAATACAACCCAAACCGCAGACTCGGACGCCTGTTCTGCTCAACAAAATCGAGGCTTCCCAAGATGTTGTGAACACGGCGGTCATAATTCCAAAGGAGGACGGGGTGATCAGCGTCTCCGAGGACAGGTAGGATGATACTGTTTGAGACCATGTTGTCAAATACGTGACTACAGTAGGTAAAATATAATATTACATAGATTTTGCACTATAAGCTCCCTATCGCTAATAAGTGGCTTTTGTCATTGCTCGAGTTTGTTGTATTTACGTTACGGTCGTCATGGCTGGCTGGTCGTTGTCACCCCGCGTTAAAACTAAGTCACAGTCTTTTCACGCCACTAAGATACTAAATCATTTTCGTAGCAGGTTAGGAGAGGATTTTCGCTAGGCCTAAACCTAACCATTTCCCTAAACATAACCTCAGTCTTCTAACTAGCCGAGCAACGCTCAACTCTGTTCTTACATCGAGGCGGAGTTGAGTATTGATAACTGGTCGCGCCATTTACTAACAACAACTTTGCGTCACCACCAGTCGATACTTGTAAAAATGTCAATTCTGAAAACTGTTAGGCCTGCCTGTACCTACAATTGCGGTCTTTCCGCGGGGTTCTGAAATTCATACTTTTAATAACAACTTTTATCAAATACAACCACCGACTTATGAGGAAAAAGTCCGTGGTTTTATTCGCTAAAAGTATGAATTTTAGAACCCCCGCAGTTGTACAGGACAAGCATATATATGTACAAGAGTTTTCAGAATGTACATTTTTACAAGTATCAACTGATGCTGACTCAATGTTGTTGCTAGCAAATCGCGCGACCAATTATCAATACTCAACTCCGCCTCGATATACGATAACGGAGTTGAGCGTTCCTCACCTATCTTCTAACCTGCTGCATAAGTTCTCATAACCTGTTACGAAAAAGTCACTAAGGTATCGAAGTGGTGTGAAAATAGTTTCTCTTAACTAAAATACGCAGAGATATCTTATCAACTAAACTCAACTCGCCATTTACGATGGAGTTGAGTGGCAACTAGTGTGGGCGGATTTGAGCTCCGACATCACATAAAACAATGTCGTTACAGAACAATGTCTTGTGTAATTGCGGGCTATTCTTTGGGTGCTGCCATCAAGGATGAAGGAATCTCAAGGATGATCAATGGAAGCAGCATGCACCTGAGCTCAATTTCAAGTCTCATTGCAAAGGGTCTGAATACTTATGTAAAAAAGGTATTTCAGTTTTTTATTTGTAATACATTGTAATACAATCAGTAGTTTTTGATAAAACGTAGTTTTATATGGAGTTGAATTTAATCGGCAAAGATCGCTGACTTCCACATCGTCTGTCTATCGACTACACTGATATACTGTCATGCAGACTACATAAAAACAGCTAGGCTTGTCAAAGTCAGCTGACATAAAATCCCACTGGTAATCTCTCTGTTAGTGCGCAGTAAAATTCTCACCCACAGGCTGATTCCAGTCATGGCAGTTTGATAGTCCCGACCCATACATAACCAGAATGGCTTTATGTGACCCGCAGGACGATCCGGATATGGCTGAAGAGAGACAGTGGCCAGTACTGGCCCAGCGTTTACCACACAATGCCAGGTGAGTCATCACCTCTCATTACATTTATATTTACATTTGAGTAATTTAGCAGACGCTCTTATCCAGAGCGACTTACATTTAGTGAGTGCATACATTTTTCATACTGCCCCCCCGTGGGAATCGAACCCACAACCCTGGCGTTGCAAGCGCCATGCTCTACCAACGGAGCTACAGGAGGCCCAATTACCTACAGGAGCAGAGCGGAAAATATTTTTGGGATCTCCGATTGTTCTGGCAATTCTCACATAAGAACTTAATTGGGAGTCACATTTGTATCCCACATTTTTTTGGGGGGGGAAATCATAATGAAATGTGCCATTTTAGGCCCGTTTTAGACCTATACATGCCTCCTGTAAGACTTGTTCAATAAAATAATGTGTATTTAAGAATCTAGACCTACTCCATATTTCAGAGCACACTATAAGGAGTATAATGACACCAGGATGTTGTCTGTATCATGTACAAATCACGCATCATAGGGTCTTACAGGAGGCATGTATAGGTGTAAAAAGGACCTAAAATAGAGCCCCACAGTGGAGGTGTCATAATACCCATAAAACCTAGCGGTCAAACTGGGAAATGGTTCCAATCGTTTTTCCACCATTCATTTTTCCCATTGGGGATTTTAGAAACACTTAAAATAAGGGCTGTGTTTTATGGAGGCTTACCCTTGTGATGTTTTGATAACCATGTAAATCTCTCTCGGACAAGGTGACTTTTATCAATATATTCGACTCTATTTATTCTCATATTCGAAAATGCTAATTAGCATCAAAGTAGACATGCAAGACTACAAATCCCTGCAAGATCCTGCACATCATCTCTAGCTGAAACCTTTGCTAAACAGGTATTGTGTCAATTTAAAATTTGCACAAGACAGTTCACGGAATTGTACATTTTAAAGAAATGTAGCTAATTTATTCATTACTACATTTAGCTAACATTAGATACAGTGGGGAAAAAAGTATTTAGTCAGCCACCAATTGTGCAAGTTCTCCCACTTAAAAATATGAGAGAGGCCTGTAATTTTCATCATAGGTACACGTCAACTATGACAGACAAATTGAGAATTTTTTTCTCCAGAAAATCACATTGTAGGATTTTTAATGAATTTATTTGCAAATTATGGTGGAAAATAAGTATTTGGTCACCTACAAACAAGCAAGATTTCTGGCTCTCACAGACCTGTAACTTCTTCTTTAAGAGGCTCCTCTGTCCTCCACTCGTTACCTGTATTAATGGCACCTGTTTGAACTTGTTATCAGTATAAAAGACACCTGTCCACAACCTCAAACAGTCACACTCCAAACTCCACTATGGCCAAGACCAAAGAGCTGTCAAAGGACACCAGAAACAAAATTGTAGACCTGCACCAGGCTGGGAAGACTGAATCTGCAATAGGTAAGCAGCTTGGTTTGAAGAAATCAACTGTGGGAGCAATTATTAGGAAATGGAAGACATACAAGACCACTGATAATCTCCCTCGATCTGGGGCTCCACGCAAGATCTCACCCCGTGGGGTCAAAATGATCACAAGAACGGTGAGCAAAAATCCCAGAACCACACGGGGGGACCTAGTGAATGACCTGCAGAGAGCTGGGACCAAAGTAACAAAGCCTACCATCAGTAACACACTACGCCGCCAGGGACTCAAATCCTGCAGTGCCAGACGTGACCCCTGCTTAAGCCAGTACATGTCCAGGCCCGTCTGATGTTTGCTGGAGAGCATTTGGATGATCCAGAAGAGGATTGGGAGAATGTCATATGGTCAGATGAAACCTAAATATAACTTTTTGGTAAAAACTCAACTCGTCGTGTTTGGAGGACAAAGAATGCTGAGTTGCATCCAAAGAACACCATACCTACTGTGAAGCATGGGGGTGGAAACATCATGCTTCGGGGCTGTTTTTCTGCAAAGGGACCAGGACGACTGATCCGTGTAAAGGAAAGAATGAATGGGGCCATGTATCGTGAGATTTTGAGTGAAAACCTCCTTCCATCAGCAAGGGCATTGAAGATGAAACGTGGCTGGGTCTTTCAGCATGACAATGATCCCAAACACACCGCCCGGGCAACGAAGGAGTGGCTTCGTAAGAAGCATTTCAAGGTCCTGGAGTGGCCTAGCCAGTCTCTTTGGAGGGAGTTGAAAGTCTGTGTTGCCCAGCGATAGCCCCAAAACATCACTGCTCTAGAGGAGATCTGCATGGAGGAATGGGCCAAAATACCAGCAACAGTGTGTGAAAACCTTGTGAAGACTTACAGAAAACGTTTGACCTGTGTCATTGCCAACAAAGGGTATATAACAAAGTATTGAGAAACTTTTGTTATTGACCAAATACTTATTTTCCACCATAATATGCAAATAAATTCATTAAAAATCCTACAATGTGATTTTCTGGATTTTCTTTTCTCATTTTGTCTGTCATAGTTGACGTGTACCTATGATGAAAATTACAGGCCTCTCTCATCTTTTTAAGTGGGAGAACTTGCACAATTGGTGGCTGACTAAATACTTTTTTTCCCCACTGTAGTTAATCCAGAGATTCTTACCTTTGCCTCGATTCGGCTGTCTCGTCCAGATCACCATGGTATTTGTAGTTCTTGATTGCCACATTAGCAATTAGCATTTTTTTTGGGGTGGGGGGGGAATTTACCAGCAAATATATTGATAAAAGTCAACTTGTCCTAGAGATTTACACGGTTATCAAAACGTCACACCAGGGTAAGCCTACATGAAAGACAGCTCTTATTTGAAGTGTTTCGAAAATCCCCCATGGGGAAAAATGAATGGTGGGAAAACAATTGGAACCATTTCCCTGTTTTATGGGTATTATGACTCATACTGTGGTACTGTATGGCCACTTTTATCATGATTTTCTCAAAAATGGTTTGTGATACAAATGTAAAAAGGATGTTAAACATACTTCCTCCCAGTGAAGTTTCTATGTGAGAATTGCTAGAACAATCTGAGATACCAAAATATTTTCTGCCTACGCTGGCATGGATTCGCCCTACTTATAAAAAATGATTAGTCGCGTACACATATTTTGCAGATGTTATCGCTGGTGTAGCAAAATGCTTATAAAAGAGTTAGGCACCTAGGCCTAGCTATTCCATTGGCCTCATTTTGTGAACAGTCAGCTCTTCTGCCTGTATGGAATCTGTTTTAACATCTGTTCCAGTTTGAATGAGGTAAACAACCATTTAGTCTATATTTCAGTTTGACCCAATGTTTAAAGGTCCAATGCAGCCGTATTTATCTCTATCAAATAATTTCAGAGTAATTCAATCAAGTAATTCTAAATAAATTAAAATAGTCAAAAAATAAATATTCTTAGCAAAGAGCAATTTCTCAAGCAATAATTTTGCTAGGACTGTCTGGTAGTGGTCTGCATGGGGAGAATAAAAGTAGCTGTTATTGGCAGAGAGGTTTGGAACTCTTTCTTATTGGTCTATTAACTCATTTACTGCCTGGTAGAGCTGGGCAATATGGACAGAAATCCATATCAAGTTAAATTGACTGAATATCACGATAACGATACATTTAACAATATGTTTATAACATTAATGTGCACCATAGTTTTTTAATTTTGTATATTACCCTTAAAACTACTACTACTTTGAATGTTGCAGCTATTAATTGTCCCATTAACAATCACCCATATTAGCTAACTTATTTCATTTCGAGCTTCACATATCTCTAGTAGGGCCCTATAGGTTATTTATCGTAATGAACAATATCAGCAAAATATCCACGATACAGTGCATTCATAAAGTATTCAGACCTCTTGACTTTTTCCACATTTTGTTAATTACAGCCTTATTCTAAAATTGATTTTAAAAAATGTTTGCTCATCAATCTACACACAATACCCCATAATGACAAGGCAAAAACTGTTTTTTTAATTTTCTTCTTTGCAAAAAAATAAAAAATACAGTAAAAACAGATAGTATTCAGACCTTTTACTCAGTACTTTGTTAAAGCACCTTTGGTAGTGATTACAGCCTATAGTCTTCTTGGGTATGACGCTAGAAACTTGGCACACCTGTATTTGGGGAGTTTCTCCCATTCTTCTATGCAGATCCTCTCAAGCTCTGTCAGGTTGGATGAGGAGTGTCGCTTCACAGCTATTTTCAGGTCTCTCCAGAAATGTTAGATCGGGTTCAAGTCCGGGCTCTGGCTGGGCCACTCAAGGACTTGTCCCGAAGCCACTCCTGCATTGTCTTGGCTGTGTGCTTAGGGTCGTTGTCCTGTTGGAAGGTGAACCTTCGCCCTAGTCTGAGGTCCTGTGCGCTCTGGAGCAGGTTTTCATCAAGGATCTCTCTGTACTTTGCTCCGTTAATCTTTCCCTCGATCCTGACTAGTCTCCCAGTCCCTGCCGCTGAAAAACATCCCCACAGCATGATGCTGCCACCACCATACTTCACCGTAGGGATGGTGCCAGGTTTCCTCCAGACGTGATGATTGGCATTCAGGCTATCATGTGCCTTTTACTGAGGAGTGGCTTATGTCTGGCCATTCTACCATAAAGGCCTGATTGGTGGAGTGCTGCAGAGATGGTTGTCCTTCTGGAAGGTTCTCCCATCTCCACAGAGGCACTCTGGAGCTCTGTCAGAACCATCGGGTTCTTGGTCACCTCCCTGACCAAGGCCCTTCTCCCCCGATTGCTAAGTTTGGTTGGGCGGCCAGCTATAGGAAGAGTCTTGGTGGTTCCAAACTTCTTCAATTTAAGAATGATGGAGGCCACTGTGTTCTTGGGGACCTTCAATGCTGCAGAAATGTTTTGGTACCCTTCCACAGATCTGTGCCTCGACACAATCCTGTCTCGGAGCTCTACGGACAGTTCCCCTCGACCTCATGGCTTGGTTTTTGCTCTGACATGCACTGTCAACTGTGCAACCTTTATATAGACAGGTGTGTGCCTTTCCAAATCATGTCCAATCAATTGAATTTACCACAGGTGGACTCCAATCAAGTTGTAAAAACATCTCAAGGATGATCAATGGAAGCAGCATGCACCTGAGCTCAATTTCAAGTCTCATTGCAAAGGGTCTGAATACTTATGTAAAAAAGGTATTTCAGTTTTTTATTTGTAATACATTTGCAAAAATTTCTAAAAACCTGTTTTTGCTTTGTCATTATGGGGTATTGTGTGTAGATTGATGAGGAAAAAAATTGAAGTCCATTTTAGAGTAAGACTGTAACGTAACAAAATGTGGAAAAAGTCAAGGGGTCTGAATACTTTCCGAATGCACTGTAAGTGGTCGGTTTGGTTGGTGTCGATCATTTTCGGTTTATCGTCCTAGCTCTAGTCACCAGCCAGGCCAAATCTCCATCCCAACAAAACTGGCTGACATTTCAGACGGTCTTTTCAAACAGCTCTTACACTAATCGGACATTATCATAATGTTCACAATTTCACAGTATTAGGCTATTCCAACCTCCATAGTGTGGAAATGTATAAAACACAGGAAAATCACTTTTGACTTACTGGGCCTTTAATGAATAACTGATGCATCTTTACTGCTGGGTTTATTGTACCTGGCAGGCTTTTACGTTTTAAATGCATTCCACATTGTGATTCCAATAGAAATGCATGTGCCTGTCTGGAAAGGCTGTCTTCAGTCATTCATAAAGTCACCACCCTCTTCAGTTTCATTTCCTAAAGTGTACTGCAAGTAATCATCTTCCTTTTGACATGTTCCCTACTTCCCTTGTGTTTTCTCTCTGCATGTTGTGCAAGACATTCCATCATGTAGTCACTAGCCCAGTCAGTGATTTTCCCCTCAAAGCACATTGCAATGGCACTGGAGAGTGGAGACACCCCACACTCGTATACGTTGCACAAATTTTCTTAGACTTGTCATTTCCTTTCTCTTCTTAGCTTCTTGCTCCTGTATGTCCTTTAACCCAGAGACCAGGAGGCTGTCTGTGGGGATGGAGAATGGAACCATCTCTGTAAGTGACTGTTTCTGTTGTCTAAGATACACTCATGATTGGGCGTGACATACTTTTATACCAAGCATCCAGCCTTATCCCACAGTCAACCTTGATACACATACCAAAGCCCATACCCCAGGGCCAGATTGGGGGCTGGTTGGGCTGGTTCAATTCATGATTTCATGTTTAACATTTAGTGGGTCACTGAGTAGCTAGCTACTGTCTCTCTTACTCTCTCGCTCTGAATCTTTGCTTCTCCAGACACCAGCACTGATCGATACTGCCAAAGGGGTTGCGTCTCTGAGTAGCCTAATCTTCCGCATGATTGGCTAAGCAGTTAGGTGGATCAATCAACACAGGGATACTAAATATGTCTAATCTACTGGAATGGCTTGGTCACCCAGGCAGTTGCACTGTGAAATTGAGTCTAGATGGGTTATTATAGAATAATTGCATTCATTTTTTATTACAGTTTTTCTCCATTGGTTTGGCTCATTTCTTGAAACAGAAATTACATTCTCAAAACTACATGGTCAAACCTCCAAACCACTTGGCAATTGTTCACAACAGAATTGAATTTCTCATTCATTTCATCAAATTGCAAATGTCTAAGTACATGTCTCAATGTCTCAGTACATCTTTGCAAATGATTAAGTACAGGTAGCCTACATTTAGCACAATTTCCAAGTGAATAGATCTTGTTGATCTAAACTGATTGTTGATTCTCAGTCTAATGGTTGTTCGCTCCAAAACGTGTCAGCGTCATTTCATTGTATAAGTCATCACATGCACAATAGTCTGTTCAATTGTCAAAATTAGTCAAGAACATAATACCATGAATACCATATACAGTGGGGAAAAAAAGTATTTAGTCAGCCACCAATTGTGCAAGTTCTCCCACTTAAAAAGATGAGAGAGGCCTGTCTTTTTCATCATAGGTACACGTCAACTATGACAGACAAAATGAGGAAAAAAAATCCAGAAAATCACAATGTAGGATTTTTAATGAATTTATTTGCAAATTATGGTGGAAAATAAGTATTTGGTCAATAACAAAAATTTCTCAATACTTTGTTATATACCCTTTGTTGGCAATGACACAGGTCAAACGTTTTCTGTAAGTCTTCACAAGGTTTTCACACGCTGTTGCTGGTATTTTGGCCCATTCCTCCATGCAGATCTCCTCTAGAGCAGTGATGTTTTGGGGCTGTCGCTGGGCAACACAGACTTTCAACTCCCTCCAAAGATTTTCTATGGGGTTGAGATCTGGAGACTGGCTAGGCCCCTCCAGGACCTTGAAATGCTTCATACGAAGCCACTCCTTCGTTGCCCGGGCGGTGTGTTTGGGATCATTGTCATGCTGAAAGACCCAGCCACGTTTCATTTTCAATGCCCTTGCTGATGGAAGGAGGTTTTCACTCAAAATCTCACAATACATGGCCCCATTCATTCTTTCCTTTACACGGATCAGTCGTCCTGGTCCCTTTGCAGAAAAACAGCCCCAAAGCATGATGTTTCCACCCCCATGCTTCACAGTAGGTATGGTGTTCTTTGGATGCAACTCAGCATTCTTTGTCCTCCAAACACGACGAGTTGAGTTTTTACCAAAAAGTTCTATTTTGGTTTCATCTGACCATATGACATTCTCCCAATCCTCTTCTGGATCATCCAAATGCACTCTAGCAAACTTCAGATGGGCCTGGTCATGTACTGGCTTAAGCAGGGGGACACATCTTGCACTGCAGGATTTGAGTCCCTGGCGGCGTAGTGTGTTACTGATGGTAGGCTTTGTTACTTTGGTCCCAGCTCTCTGCAGGTCATTCACTAGGTCCCCCCGTGTGGTTCTGGGATTTTTGCTCACCGTTCTTGTGATCATTTTGACCCCACGGGGTGAGATCTTGCGTGGAGCCCCAGATCGAGGGAGAATATCAGTGGTCTTGTATGTCTTCCATTTCCTAATAACTGCTCCCACAGTTGATTTCTTCAAACCAAGCTGCTTACCTATTGCAGATTCAGTCTTCCCAGCCTGGTGCAGGTCTACAATTTTGTTTCTGGTGTCATTTGACAGCTCTTTGGTCTTGGCCATAGTGGAGTTTGGAGTGTGACTGTTTGAGGTTGTGGACAGGTGTCTTTTATACTGGTAACAAGTTCAAACAGGTGCCATTAATACAGGTAACGAGTGGAGGACAGAGGAGCCTCTTAAAGAAGAAGTTACAGGTCTGTGAGAGCCAGAAATCTTGCTTGTTTGTAGGTGACCAAATACTTATTTTCCACCATAATTTGCAAATAAATTCATAAAAAACCTACAATGTGATTTTCTGGATATTTTTTCCTAAATTTGTCTGTCATAGTTGACGTGTACCTATGATGAAATTTACAGGCCTCTCTCATCTTTTTAAGTGGGAGAACTTGCACAATTGGTGGCTGACTAAATACTTTTTTTCCCCACTGTATGAATCCCTTGGAACATTTGATAAATTTATTACAGCAATTGACAGTCAGGTGAAACTAGAACTTGACTAACGAAGGAGGAGTTTCACACATCTCAGATGACCAATCAAACAGTATGTTTAGTTACCTGACAGGTGCTGTCCATGACTGTGAATGCTGCCAAACATGTATGTAAAGAGCTTGACCATGCAGGACCAGTACAATTTCTGAACATGGAGGCACCTGGCCAAGGGCCGAAGACGTGGCCGTAATATTATTGGCCACCGGGCCATGGTGGATGTCCCAGGCCAGCGAGGGGGCAATATAACTATGTGTGCTGCCATATCGGAGAATGGTGTGGCCACTCACATCCCCAGTCTTGGCCCATACAATACACAGAAGCTCCTCATCTTCTTGGACCGCCTTCATGTTGATTTAATCCCTGAAAATGAGAGCGGTCTCGTAGGGCCTCACCTACCACAATATGTCATTGTATGGGACAATGTGAATTTCCACCGTGGCCCGCTCATCAGGGCCTGGTTCACTACTCATCCAAGGATGGTCATGGTGTTCCTACCACCTTACTCTCCTTTCCTCAATCCTATTGAGGAGTATTTCTCCGCTTGGAGGTGGAGAGTGTATGAGCATCGGGCTCAAGATCAGAGGTCCCTGCTCCATGCAATGGACGCTGCGTGTGAGGATATTACAGGAGATCAGTGTAGGGGATGGTTGCGACATGCACGCCGTTTCTTCCCTCGTTGCATCGCAAGGGAGAATATACGCTGTGATGTGGACGAGAATCTGTGGCCAGACAGACAGCAGCGTGTGGATGGCCAGGAGGGTGAGGACAGCGACCAGTGAAGAACTGTTAGTTGTGAAACTCCAGCTTTATTTACAGCACTGTAGGCTGCATATAATTTTCATTGTTTTTTGTTTGTGTGTTTATATTACAGTATATTATGCTGTATACATTTTCTTTTTACTCTGATGTATGGAAGTTACTTTATGTGTGTGAATGATAATGGTTACAATTTCCTTGGCAGTATGAGTGCAATGTGTGATGTCAAACCTTGGAGGCTACTCTTACCCTAAAATCCTATTTATTTTTTTCAGTTTTATACACAATTGTATTCTGTTAGCTAGACAAAAAACAGTACAGTAACCATTGTCAATGAAGGACTGGGCTAAGACTGAAAGGTGGACATATTTCAATGGTCCTCTGCCATAGTGACAAAACATCTAAACATTTTGACTTGCAGTGCTTACACAATGCCAAAGGGACGAAGCATTTTGGGGGCACTGACTGTTTAAATGAGAAGGAAATTTAGTTTTGACACATGCGTGAACTGTTTTGGGAGAGGTATGAGCTTTTGCAGGTGAACCATGGTGTTGTGCCGAACCATCCACGTTATTTTGGCTAAAGCACCAAGAGTGTTGAGAACGTCCGGTCTGTTTCAAGAAATGAGCCAAAGCAATTGAGAAGGATCTTTGCCATTTTCGTGGCACTGACTCCTTATATGGGAAAGGAATTTAGTTTTGAAGCATGAGTGAACAGTTTTAGGAGAGATATGAGCTTTTGCAAGTGAGCTATAGTGTTGTGCTGAACTGTAAGACTGTTTTGCCAAATGATCTTAGAGTTTTGAGAATGTAATTTCTGTTTCAAGAAATGAGCCAAACCAATGGAGAAAAACTGTAATTGGCTAAATAGCCTAAAATTAACATGGATATACTTTGCTAAACCTAAGCACTTCCTTTTGCATCAGAAGGTAATTTCAAGCATTGTGTAACTTTGACCTGAAAGTATGTCCATATCAAATAAATATTGTGCTTTTTCTTGGGAAAACCAGTGAGTGACATACTTCTTGTGTTTCAGGAGTTCATCCTGTCAGAAGACTACAACAAGATGACCCCGGCACAGACCTATCTGGGTGAGATGGGAAGTGTGGGCACAGGCTGTGTTCTTTGTGTGACTCAGCTGACTCTGGTCAATGGCAGGAAGGGATGAAACCTGGCAAAATAATGGATGTTTTTTCTATTCATGGTGCTTTGGTTGGTTTTAGCTACAAGGCCTCTAAAAGCAATATACTAAGATTGAGCTTGCTGCCAACAGTTCTACTGTACGACTGCAATCTTGTCTGTTTTGATCAATTTTAAAGGATGCGAAGAACACCAATCTGTCTACTGTTATACTATGTACAGTATATGACAGTCTATGGTCATATTTACACCAGTATCTTTTGTTTATTAACATGCCATTGTGTGTGTTCTGTATCAGCCCACCAGGGCAGAGTGACAGTGGTGCTGTTTGTGTTGGAGATGGAGTGGGTCCTCAGTACAGGACAGGACAAGAACTTCACCTGGCACTGCTCTGAGAGTGGAACACAGCTTGGGTTATACCGCACCACCGCCTGGGTCTCTGGACTACAGTATCCTTCGGCTGTTACAAACCATATTTCTCTATTCTATTTTATTCTATTCATTCTGTTCTATTCACATGCTGTTGCTATTAGTGATTGGGGGGGAAATCATTACAGTTACATATCGCAATATGAGTTTTGAATGATATTTGATTCCAAGTATCGATTTGTCAAAAATATTATTATTATTATTATTTTTTTGAATAATATGCTACTGTAGGTAGCGTTAGCTAGCGCTAGTCGGCTGTATGAAAAATTCAGGTATTTTTCATCCCTTCTTTTTAAATACTGAGCCAACATGATTTCAGCACTTTTTTATTTCCCTGACTGATCAAAACTAGTTTTCTCGTGCTCTCTCTTGTCTCTCTGCAGAAGACGTATAGTGAGCAATATGTTTGGAACATCAAGTCGCAATAAAATATCGTATCGGCACCCAAGTATCGTGATAATATTGTATCGTGAGGTCCCTGGCAATTCCAGCCCTAGTTGCTATGTCACAAATATCTTAACAAATACTACCTGTGTGTGAAGTGTAAAGCCACAGACAATATTTCAAGTGATAACAGCACTTGACTGTGTCTCCTTCACCTCAAACAAGTGTATTTTTTAATGACAACAAGGCGCTATGGGTGGACATGGCCCTCTGCCGCTTTCTCCCACGATGCAGTAGACCAGAGAGGGAGCCAGATAAGCGTCCCAGTAGCTTTTCTTAATGGGGGAGGCTAACGATAGCCTTCAGTCATGCAGTCCAAGGCAATGGTCCGGGAGATTTCTGTAATGGTCGAGATAAAAGGTTTGGGTCCACTCCGCTGTGGAGGGCTCTCAATACCAACTAGCTCTGTGAGGTCTTAAGACTGACTTATGCTTCAAAGACAGGGATAAACAATTCCAATGTTAAATACAACAAACAAAACGATGTTCGGACATATGGCAGCCATCTTGTTTGTTTTGGCTTTGTATGCCTTTTTACAAACCCAGAGCAGTCATTGTATGTTATTCAAAATTGTTGAAATGAAAGAACTACTTGGAATGTGTATTTTCTTTAGTATATCATCCAGCAAATTTGTCTAAACAACCACAGTTCTGAGTTAGCCTGGAATCAGATTAGTACAGCAACCCTTTTCAGAAGGAGGAGAAATTAGATTATGCTCTGTGAAAAGATTTGTCTTATTTTTTTCTCTCTGTTGATTGCTTTGTTATCATTCTGGCCTCTCACTGAAAGGTCTCTCTTGAGATCTGAGACTAAATACATATGATTTTGTAGCTAATGAACAGTTAACTGTGGTGGTAAGTTTACTGATGTGGATTGTTTTTGTTGGAAATTAAGAAGTATAATGCAGTCAGTCCTTCACTGAATAGAATGAACCACATACAGATCAGATACGAGTAGGTTTCAACCAGTTAACACTGATTGAATAGAATAAATACAGTGTGTGCAAATCCGTCAAGTTGCTCAGATGCAAACAGTTGAGTTAAACGGTCATTGCCATTATCATGTTTTTGCTGCAGACCATCCTTGACCGTGCCCCTCCCAGGTTCGACGTGGAGACGAGGCACGCCTTTGTGGGTGACTACTCTGGTCAGGTGACCATCCTAAAGCTGGAGCAGGACAGCTGTAGTCTGGTCACCACCTTCAAAGGACACACAGGTACTACTACTACGCCCCATGTTACAAAACAACACTCGTCCCCTACCTATAGTACCCCATAGTACCCCATCCTCGAAACACCACCTTTTGGGACTACTCCATTGGTTCCAATACGCAGAGGAAGCAAAATAAAGCCCCTAAATATTTGAAAGAAAACACATACTATTTTAGACCCAGGTCTTCAAAAATCATGGAGATTTTATAAATCGGTCTATTACCCACTTTATTTATTTCCATGTTTTCACCCCAACTGACTGTCCCTCCTGGCCACTCAGCCACTCGGCCACTCGCCAGCAGTGACAGAGGTGTAGTGTGGGACATTGTACACTCCAGAGGACAACCCTCACAGCTATTTATAAACCCTCTGTTCTGATCTGGGGTCAGTTGTTTTAGCACTCTCACATCTCCTCTACTTCCTATATTGACAGAAGAGCGTGTGACTGAGAATGTTGCTGACATCACCACTATTCCAGGCCTGTCTGTTATCAGTAGGGTTACAAATATTTGTCATTATGCAAATATCTGCCTGTGAAAAGCACTGGAACATATTTCCCTTTGAATTAGACATAAGGGGGTGCTCTAGCATGGCTCAAGAGGGATGAATTGTGGTTCATTAAAAGCAAAAGACTTGGCAATTATTGAGAAAGTCTGTTTATTGAATTTGCTTTCTTAAAATTCAACTTTGTCTAAATCAACTTGAATTTGCTCAGAGTCACTTTTGTCCACTTTCTAATCATTGAGGCCTTTTAGTTTCTTGTGTTTGTTCCACTTGACCAGGTCAAGTTTAAGATCCAGTGATGGAATGTGTGTTATGTGTTCTGCTCTCTTTAGGCAATGTGACAGCGCTGTGTTGGGACCCGGTCCAGAGAGTGTTGTTTTCCGGCAGCTCCGATCACTCCATCATCATGTGGGACATCGGGGGACGCAAAGGTACCGCCATCGAACTTCAGGGACACAAGTAAGATTCACACACTGAACCTCAACAGAGTCCTCCAATACAGTCTTCAAATGTAGTCTCCATTGTAGTATTAAAACCCCAATATACACTGCTCAAAAAAATAAAGGGAACACTTAAATAACACAATGTAACTCCAAGTCAATCACACTTCTGTGAAATCAAACTGTCCACTTAGGAAGCAACACTGATTGACAATAAATGTCACATGCTGTTGTGCAAATGGAATAGACAACAGGTGGAAATTATAGGCAATAAGTAAGACACCCCCAATAAAGGACTGGTTTTGCAGGTGGTGACCACAGACCACTTCTCAGTTCCTATGCTTCCTGGCTGATGTTTTGGTCACTTTTGAATGCTGGCGGTGCTTTCACTCTAGTGGTAGCATGAGACGGAGTCTACAACCCACACAAGTGGCTCAGGTAGTGCAGCTCATCCAGGATGGCACATCAATGCGAGCTGTGGCAAGAAGGTTTGCTGTGTCTGTCAGCGTAGTGTCCAGAGCATGGAGGCGCTACCAGGAGACAGGCCAGTACATCAGGAGACGTGGAGGAGGCCGTAGGATGGCAACAACCCAGCAGCAGGACTGCTACCTCCGCCTTTGTGCAAGGAGGAGCAGGAGGAGCACTGCCAGAGCCCTGCAAAATGACCTCCAGCAGGCCACAAATGTGCATGTGTCTGCTCAAACGGTCAGAAACAGACTCCATGAGGGTGGTATGAGGGCCCGACGTCCACAGGTGGGGGTTGTGCTTACAGCCCAACACCGTGCAGGACGTTTGGCATTTGCCAGAGAACACCAAGATTGGCAAATTCGCCACTGGCGCCCTATGCTCTTCACAGATGAAAGCAGGTTCACACTGAGCACATGTGACAGACGTGACAGAGTCTGGAGACGCCGTGGAGAACGTTCTGCTGCCTGCAACATCCTCCAGCATGACCGGTTTGGCGGTGGGTCAGTCATGGTGTGGGGTGACATTTCTTTGGGGGGCCGCACAGCCCTCCATGTGCTCGCCAGAGGTAGCCTGACTGCCATTAGGTACCGAGATGAGATCCTCAGACCCTTGTGAGACATATGCTGGTGCGGTTGGCCCTGGGTTCCTCCTAATGCAAGACAAGCAACCTTGTGAGACATTTGCTGGCTGCAGAGTGACCTGGACT